ACACAATAATCCTAATGCATTAATTCCCAGAACTAGGTTTTGTTCCTCTATTAATCCTAATTCTGAATCCTGATCATGGCATCCAAATACACCCTAGCCTTGGTTCTTGTTATTGTCCTTGTTCAAACTCTGCCTACATCCCAATTATTTGCAATTCCAACGCAGCCAAGAGAAGAGCACATCTTGATGTTCAAGCCATCAAATACCAACGCCATTATAGAAATGGGATTATCAAAGCTGTGTGGGATGCTGGCTTCAAGATCATGTCTCATTCTCCAAAACCATCTCTGCAGCGTTGTTCCATTCGGTGGTAGGTATCCTGCTGGCTGTCGCCTTTGTTATGCCACAGACAGTGTGATCATATACAACAACAATACAATCACCATATTTGCTCCGGTGGACGAATCTTTCTCCGATGATGAAAATTGGAAGGTGTTGGAGTACCAGTTTGTGACTGCCAGGGTCCGATAATGAAGCTTTCGATTCAGGTTCTGTACAAAGGGGCTTCGAGTTGCTCACATGCGATTCCTATTGCAAAGTCCCTGTTACTGGTTACGGATCCATCAACAATGTTAACATAACACATGGGAACATCTACAATGATGGTCACGTCATTGTTCATGGAGTCCAAAATTTTTTCAATTGCGCTTTCTGAAAGTCTTCAAAGAATACTTAATTATATCTGAAATTTTATTTATTTATTTATTTAATTAGACTTAGATTTTGCTGGTTGTAATTGCTATTATTAGTATTAATTAGTAGCTACTTGCACCAGTTTTTTTTACCTGATTTTACATTAATTTGCGTAGCATTGAGTTTGATTAAAGTAGGATCTATTATTGTTGAGAATGCAAAATGTGAAAGCAATTACTAAGCAATTAAAGCAGGGTGCTTACATTCTGCTTGTATACTCTGCTAGTAGTTTACCTAGCATTAAAGCTTAGATGTGTTACATTCTATCAAGTAGTACGCTGTTGACAGATGTTGCTTGAAAGGAATTAAATTTAATTCAATGTATATAGAATAATAAATATGTGGATAAAATTAATAAAAAAACTAATTACTTGGTGGTGTGTTTTATTATCTGATTAAATTTGACATATATTATATTTTAAATAAACGATTAGGAAGTGATAACCTATGCTCATCCAATAGGTCATAAAATAACATAAATTGAAGATAAAATAGTTTGCTCGCTAAAATTGTTGTCACATGACAAGTGAAGGGATCTAATAAGTTAAATTGTAATTAAACTTTTGTGTTTTTAACACAATATATTGAATTTTTACGGATAATTTTGTTTTTCTTTTTAATTATAAAAAAGAGGGATTCAAATATGACTCTTTTAAGTGAAGAGAGATATATATACATCCAACATTGAGTCAAATACTTAAATCCTAATCATGATTAATTTCAATTTTACAAAATATATGTTAAAAATAAATTATTTAATTAATTAAGAAAAAAAGGACAATAATATACTAACAAGGTGAACTATAATTTTCATTGGTATTTGGCTTAGTTAAAATGATAAGATTGAGATGGGTTGGATACAGATTTTA